GCCACAACATTAGTAACAAAGAAACAGAATTAAAACTTTATTGTGGGGAGCTGTTACAGTGTTTTGGACAGGTTCAAGCCTTGGACTGATGAGAGGGCACAGTCTTCTCATTGCCACATGCAAGTCACAGCTTGGAGGGCAGGAGCCCTCCCAGCACAATTACAGGCAACAGCTGTAGTTGTAAGCTTGAACCTATGGTCTGAACACGTGGCCCCACGTGCCTGAGTGATGTAGGCTTGATAGAGTTCAGGTGCATGTAGTTGAGTAGGATTGAAACCCAGGAGAATGTTGTAAACATCTTGGTCACACCCTTACTTTGCCTCGTAGCATCTGCTATAAAATAAAGGCATGTCTGTGGCCGTGGTCGCTGTCTCTCAGGGAAGCAGCGTCCCACCGAGACCCAGCTTTCATTCTCTTGTCTGTCTTTTCTAAGCCTTTCAGTCACCCCCACTCAGGTTCACCCCTGGCTGTGCTGGCGCGGCACACATTAGAAAGATATGCCTCCACGCTCCCAGGGCGGGTTCCTGCCTCAAACCCTGCCCTTACAGGAAACAGCTCCAGGAAACAGCTCAGTGGAGGGCGCAGCCGTTGCCAAGAAAACACCTGCAGGACTGACTTCCTTCCGCTTGGTCATGGCAGTTGTGGTCGTGATGAACACCACCCATGGTTTTTATATAAGTAGATCTGTTGTTGTTGATCTGAGACAGAGAGGGATAGGGAGACAAAGAGAAACATTGATGTGAGAGGCAAAAAATCAATCAGGTGATGTGATGTGTGTACCCTTACCAGGAATCAATGTGACTTCTTGGTTCATAGGTCAACACTCAATCATTGAGGCTCATTCACTGGGCTGTGTGTTGCTATTTGGATGACCTGTTTACTAGAAAGAGAATGGGCCCTGGCTGGGTAGATTACATGCTATGGTGATGACAAGCTTTACCTTGCTGGTGTTCTAAGCTTGCTTTGAGCATCAGGCCTGTTTCCATCATGACAGCAAGTGGGAGGTGTTGCATCAGTACAAGTCTACTTCTAGCTTCTGCCTAATGGTTCACAACATAGAATGAAGGTAAAACCATGCAGGCTATGTCTTAGAAGGGAGCCAGTAATTTAGCAAAGATTCTACTTTGGTGACAACACATGACCCCCAACAGTTCATTGGCAAGCAATACACAGTAATACTTACCAAGTTTCCAAACATTTGCCAAGTAAAACATTCACACTTATGAAGTTTTTTACATGATCATTTAATTACACTTAGGAAGCCAACTTTATAGCAGAAATATCATTTTCTAAAATAAAATATATGTACAATACAAATGTATACTACATCAGATAACTGCTTTGCTCTGATTTATTATTCATATAATAACTATATAGAATAAGTCTGAGATCACTTTCCATGCAACTGTTGTGTAAATGGATATCCAAAAAGGTCTTGTGTCTTGGACGGAGTCACCATGAAGTAGGTCAGTGGTGGCGAACCTATGACACACGTGTCAGAGGTGACACTCGAACTCATTTTTTTGATTGATTTTTCTTTATGTATTTTAAATATATAAAATAAATACCAAAAATATAAATCTTTGTTTTACTATGGTTGCAAATATCAAAAAATTTCTACATGTGACACGGCACCAGGGTTAAGTTAGGGTTTTTCAAAATGCTGACACGCCGAGCTCAAAAGGTTCGCCATCACTGAAGTAGGTGCGGTGTGTGGAAATCAAATCCAGGGTTCTGGAGTCCTCGACCACCAAGAAGGTACCTCCAGGAGGATAGAAGGAACCAGCCCAGCACAGTGGCCACAGGTTCCCGGAAGTCACCTCTCCAGGCCACTGTGGCCTCAATTGTCTGTTCCTCGGTCTCTGTGTGCCTAGGTCTGTGCGTTCCTAGGTCACTGACACAGGTGAGTCTGCTCGCATCTTCTCAGGGTAGGTGACTCTGGGAGCAGGGGAGCATGTGCTGTCCCCTCCTCTGTCCATTTCCCGCCTTCTTCACGCCTCACTTTCCCCTGCTCCTCCCAGCCTCGCCCCTGAGAGCCTTGCCCCTGCTGTGGTGGCTTTTGGAGACCCTGCAAGGACCGTGCTAGAGTGGCCTCATCCTGTTGTGTCAGGACCTTGGTAGCTGAGGGACACTCGGACATTTTATTTTTATGTTCTAAAACATCGCGTTGAAAACCATCAGCGTAGCTAAATGCTCTGCTCATGATGGTGCCTTTCTTTAGGAGTATGCTGCTTTTTTCACACCCTCAAAACCTTTTCCTTCTTTGTACTTTTTCTTGTGTATGTTTTGGCTAATTTTTTCCAGAGGATATGTTTTCCCCATTCATTTTTTTATATAGAGTGGGAGGGAGGGAGGGGGAGGAGAAAGAGAAAACAAACAAGCAAACATGAATATGCAAGAGACACACACATGGATCTTTGGCTCCCACAGGAGCCCTGACCAGGGCAGGCAATGAAACCTGCATCCCAGGGTATGTGCTCTGGACCAGGAATCCTACCAGCGACCCTTCCCTGGGTATCCAATGGAAGACTGACCAGGGCTTAGTCCTTCCGCTTAGCAGATGAGAACAAATGTCCCTCTTTCTTCTTGCAGAAGGCAGCCAATCTATGATGATCACTCATCATTCATGTTTATCTCTTCCTTTCTGAAATAGTAGAAATATCTCTAAAAAACCCACTGTGGCCCTGGCCGCTGTTGCTCAGTGGGTAGAGCGACAGCCTGCAAACTGAAGGTTTCCTGATTCAATGCCCAGTCAGGGCACATGTCCAGGTTGCAGGCTCGATCCCCAGTGGGGGGTGGAGGTGGGGATACAGGAAGCAGCTGATACATGATTCTCTCTCATCGTGGATGTTTCTCTCTCTCTCTCTCTCTTTAAATTGATTTTTCTTCTCGTGGTAAGAACACATTCCCATGAGAACCCTGCATCTGGAGGTGCCATCAACAATCACAGCCTCCCTGCTACTGATGGCATCAATAATAACAGCCTACAGGGGAGGGACTGCCTCAGGAATGCCCACCTCTAGGCTACTCATTGCATCCATCATTGCAGCCTCCAGGCTACTGGCTGCCTCAGTAAACGAGGCCTCTCCAGGGGCCGCTGAGTCGAGCAGGAATAACACATTCTCCCAATACCCCTGCACCTCGCTGGACAGACTGGTTGCCTCCATAATGGGGTCATCCAAGGGACTGGCTGCCGAAATCACAACAGCCTCTGGCTGACTGGATGCCTCAGTAAAAGAGACCTGTCCAGGACTTGCTGCCTTGTTAACAGCGGCCTCCCCAGAACTGACTGATTCAATAATGGCAGCCTCTAGGTTATAGACTGACATAGTGAACGCACAGGTTCACGATGTCGGTGCATCAGCCAAGGTCTCCCTTTGCAGGGCTGGAGCGGGAAGGGGTGTAAAATCCAGACCTGTTACTTCAGTCCATTCGGGGAAGGAATGAATGCGCCCTGGACAGCGTCGATGATTTTGTGGGTTTTCCTTTGTGTTTTTGGTTGCTCGTGTCTTTGTTTGGGTAGAATTTTCAATCAAGTACACAGGGCATTAGCTGAAATTTCAGCACCACGGACAAAACACAAAGTGTTATTCTTTGAATGGCCACAAGAGGGTAGCAGAGGATCTATTTTGCTTAGGTATTGGCTGACCACTTCCTTCGAGTAATTATATAGATGCATAGACGTGATACTTAACCTAGTAAACTGGTAACCAGTAACCTGGTAACCAGTAACCATTAACCTAGTAACTAGTATCCAGCAACCTAGTAGCTAGTAGCCAGTAACCGAGTAACTAGTAACCAGTAACCTAGCGGCTAGTAACCTTTTTTAAACTAGTAACCTGATAATTAGTAACCAGTAACCCAGTAACTAGTAACCAGTAACCTAGTAGCTAGCAATAAATAACTTCAGTAAAGGCGACCTATCCCATACTGCCTGACTCATTAGCGAAGGCCTCCTCAGTACGGGCAGCCTCAGTAAGGGCAGCCTCCAGGTTACGGAATGCCACAATCATAGCGGACTCCAGGTTACAAGGACGGCGGCTTCCAAGGTACTGGCTGCCTTAGTAAAGGCGGCTGCAGGTTGCTGGCTGCCTCAGCAAAGGCTACGTGTCCCGTACAGGCTGCCTCGTTCGCAGAGGCCTGCGCTGTATGGGTGGCCTCAGTAATGACGGCCTCCAGGGTAACGAATGCCTCAGTAACAGCGGACTCTGGCGAAGTCGCCCGGTCTCGCGATACTCCACACCTCGCTGTACGGACTGCCTGCCTCAATAATGGCGGCTTCCAGGGCACAGGCAACCTCAGTAATGGCGGCCTCCGGGGAAAGGACTGCCATAATCAGAGCGGACTTCAGGTTACTGGCTGCCTCAAGGACGGCGGCCTCCAAAGTCCTGGCTGCCTCAAGAATGGCAGCCTCTAGGTTTCAGGCTGACATCGTGAACGCACAGGTTCACTCACGATATCAGTGCATTAGCCAAGACCTCCCTGGGGCTGGGGCGGGAAGAGGTGCAAAATCCAAACCCGTGACTTCAGTCCATCCAGGGAAGGAATGATTGCAGCCATGTACAGGCTCGGTGATTTTGTGTGTGTGCTTTTTTTGTTTTGTTTTTGTTTTGTTATTCCTTATAATTTCTTGTCGTGTTCCCGGGGCATTACCTGGGATTTCAGCACCACGGACAGAAGCACAAGGTGTTATTCCTAGAACGGCCACAAGAGGGCAGCAGAGGATCGTTTTTGCACAGGAATTGGCATACAGCTTCCTTTGAGGTTTATGTAATAAGTATATAGATGCATAGACGTGTACAGTATGATCAGTAACTTATTTGAAGGAGAAATAAAACCGTTTATCCTATAAAACCACAGTGTAAGTCTGCTCTAGGCTTGCATTCTGATAAATCGCAAAATAAGGAATCTTTGTTCTCACCACATTTCTACAGGACTATTTTATCTTTCATTCTGAAAGGGACAGGCATAGGTAATGAGCAGAACCCTTTGACATACAAGAACACGTTTCAAAACCACTGTGTTGCAACACCAAACTATTAACTAGAATCTTTTACTCAGAAAAAAAAGTGTTTACAACTAATTTACTAGCAGACAAAAGTACTCATAATAACCTAATGTCACAGAAGTAACTTGAAAAGATATGAAGCAATATTGGAATTTGCTAACATCCTAGAAGGGTAGACTAATTTTTATGCTGCTGAAATACAATCAGAAAAATTCACCTTTTGCAAAGCAAATTCATCTCCAAAGCAAATTCACCTTTTACACTTCTGACCCTGACTCCGGCCCTGAAACTGACACCTCGCCCTAAAACCCTAACCCCACCCCAGCCCTAGCCCCAGCCCCACACTTTACCTCTGACCCTTGACCTGGCACAAATTTATATTTTATTAGAGTATAGAATCCATACCTGGTGTTGCTCACTGGTTAGAGCGTCGGCCCGCACCTCTGGTGAAAGACTAGGTAGAGGGAGAGTGGGAGCCTGTGGTGGAGTCTATGGTGGAGGGAAGTAGCTAGGTCTATGTTTACAGAGAGGATTCTGAGGACAGTGTGTGGGATGGGGTTGAGCAGAAGAGCAAGTCTCAGGGTCTCTTGTGCGGAAAAGCACAACAGGCAAGGAAGAACTTTCTAGAGGGCGAGCTCTGCTGGGACCATGCCGGGCCCCACACACTCTGCACTGTCACCCGCACACTGTCTGTGGCCTGTGCCGTCTTCACTTGCAGAAAATCATGTGTGTGTAATTGTCTACACTCCATGCAGACTTTCGTCATCAGTGGAAAACACGGTTTTGAAATGACTTAAGTGCAAAACCAGACTCTACCATTGAGTCGTCCTGAGCCCTTGGTAAGTTTAATCATAGAGCCCCCCCCCTTTTTTTTTTTTTACTATTTTTATCATCTTTTTAAAAAAATTTCTTCCAATACAGCATAGGTTTTCCCTGTGACAGCTGGTAGTGGATGCTGTTATTCCCTGAATGTCCACAGGGCGGCAGCAGAGGATCATTTTTGCACAGGAATTGGCTGTCACTGTCAGAGTCCTTTGAGGTCTAGTGTCATAAGTATATAGTTCCCTACACGTGTACGATATAATCATTACCGTACTAGAAGCAAAATAAAAGCGTTTATCCTATAAAAGCAGTGTATAAGTCTGCTCTATGTTTACATTCTGATAAATCACAAAATAAGGGATGCTTATTCTTAGTACATTTCTACAGGATTATTTTATCTTTCATTCTGAAAGAGGCAGGCATAGATATTGAGCAAAATCCTTTGACTTACAAGAATATGTTTCAAAATCACTGTGTTTATATGCCAAAGTATTAACTAGAATCTTTTATTCAAGAAAAAAATGTGTTCACAACTAATTTACTAGCAGAAAAAAGTACTCAGTAATAATAACCTAATGTCACAGAAGTAACCTGAAAAAATATGAAGCAATTTTGGAATTTACAAAATCCTGTAAGGGCCGACTCATTTTTGATGCTGTGGAAATACAATCAGGCAGCCACCACGGACCTTATCATTGAGATGTCTGCAATGGTGTAAGACTCTGAGTCACTAACCTTGTTCCCAGCCACTAATTCCTATATTATCATGAAAAGATTAACAACATTGATGCCCAAACAATGGAGTCCCACCCCAGCCTTCATAGCCTACTTCCCCATGTCTGTACTAATCCTTGCCCTACCCTATATCAACATCTGGCTTTATGGGGTGCACAGCAGATTTTTGTGGGTGGATGACTTGATGCTCTCCCATACTGCTGGCTCTATTGGAAGAAGTGCTCCTAAGAAATTCAACCCTGTCTCTGCTTGATTGGTTCAAGCAGTGACAGGCAGCCTGGGCACACTGATTCACCGGTTACAATGCCAACCTCCACTCCGACTCACCCCCACGGAGTCTCACTGAGACTTGTTTTTTGTTTGTGTTTGTTGTTAAGTCTTACCGGAGGATATTTTTCCATTGATCTTTTAGAGAGAATGAGAGAGAGAGAAACATCCATGTAAGAGAAACACATCGATTGGTTGCCTCCTGCACGCGCCCCAACCAGAGCCGGGGCCGGGGAACCTAGGTACAGTAGCCTTGACCAGAATCAAACCCAGAACCCTTTGGTGCGCAGGCCTCGGCCGAGACTCCTTTCTCAATTAACATTGTCATTCGATGAAATCATGAAAATCACCCAATCTTGTTTTCAGGTCCCTTAAGGGCTAATTCTTGGGCTTTGCTCCATGCCCAGCCCTGTGCAAGGTGCTCATGGTCCAGATCCCCTACAAGCCCATGAGAGGTATTTCTTTGCTTCCCTCCCTCCCTTCCTTCCAGATTTATCGAGCGCCTGTCTGTGCCAGGGGCTGGGGCACAAAAGGCAAAGCTAGCAGCCACGACCTCACCGCCCGTGAGAGCATCATTTGCAAAATGGCTGTGACTAGGGTGGGTGCAGGATGCAGGGGGAGCCCCAAATGACTCAGGGAAGGTTCTCCAGTGGAGTTAAAGGTGATATGGGATTTGAAGGATGAGGAAGGGCATTCAAGGTGTAGGGAACTGCATGTGCAAAGGCAGGGAGTCAGGAAACAGCTTGCCTGGACTTGGAACTGTGGGAGGGTGATGGAGCCCAGGGCGATGGAGCCAAGGTCCAGGAAATCTGCTGGGTGAGAATGGGGTCCCAGAACCCACTACCTGGACCCTATGTCTCCTTGATCTCCTTTGCTCCTGGTGGCCTGGCCAGGAAGAAGCCCCTCCTACCTGCCCAAAAGGAGGCTTTGAAGCTGGAGAGGGAGTGAAGAAGGAGGAGCAAGCTGGTGTGTATTTTTGGATTGCTTCTCAGCAATCTCCTCCTCCTCCTCCAACATCTTGGCAACCGGGCGGCAGCTGGGGGAGGATCTGTGAGCTGGGCTGAGTTGAGGGGGAGGTGGACTGGGGGTAGGGACCTCTGCTCCCCCTCTCTGAGCCTCAGTTTTGGCATTTAGAATATGGGCATGACCACCCAGTTGCTGGCTCCTGTCAACCCAGGGGCTACGGGAAGCGCAGGCCCAGGCTGGACTCATGGTGGGGAAGGCCTGGGAGGTGAGGTTGTGCACTGAACAGAGTCCATGACTTCACATCTCATACCTCACACTGCAAATGTTCTGATAATTTGAAATGTTTTCAGATTTTATTGGAAGTTTTTTAGGCCGTTTTAATATTATGACAACTCTCCAGTTCATAAGGGTCTTGAAGATGAGGCACCTTCTTCTAACTTGGCTAAAAGGCGCCTGGGGTTCAGCGCTGGTCACCTTCCCATCAGGGACGTTTCCAGAGCACACAATGCCCCAGGGGGGGATCCTGGTCCTAGAGGGGCCACGCATAGGCTGACGGTTTCTGACTCCAGGGAAAGGGCAGGGCCCCGAGCCTCTGTGCTCCTCTGACTCCGGGTGGATCAGGCTGGGGAGTGGGCTGTGGAGAAGCCCGGAAGGGACTGTGAGAACTGCCTGCTCTTCCAGCCACTAGGTTCTCCCCGAGGACAGAGAGCCCCAGATTTCTGGAAAGGGGAGTCGCAGGGCACTCCAAAAAGGTTTGTGTTTTTGTTGGTTTGCATATGACCGTTAAGCCTTAAATTGTTTTTAGAGTACAAAGGAAAGTTAAAGAGCAACAGTAAGTAACCCCCATGCACAACCGCTTGTCCCAGAGAAGGGTCAGTGGTACCCATCTTTTGTGCATCAGATGAGACAATATTCCAATGGCTGACCTCCCCATGCCTCAGTTTCCTCCTCTGTAAAATGTGGAAAATACTTAGTGCATCTGAGGTGGCTGTGAGCACTGAGCAAGCCGGCCTGTGTGATGTAGTGAAGGCCGCACAGAGACTTACAGCTCGAGGCTATAAATGCCTGCCTCCATTCCTACCTGTTGTGATGCCTGTGGAGACCTCGTCTTACCAGCAGCAGAGCATACTGGGGTGTGACAGAACTCACTATCTGTGCAGAGTGGGGACATTCTGGTTGTTTCTAGTCTCTTGTACCCACAGGAGTTTGCCGAAACAGGGTAAGCAGCATGTCTTTGGGGTTATCTCCTGTAAACATAAGCCCTGCCAACTGTCATGTGTGTTCACATCTCAAATAGATATTTCCTAATCACCTCCCAAGAGTTGTAAACAGCTCACTCCCAACCTTTGCTACAAGGGTCAGCATCCCTGCCTGAGGGGCCTGATTCTAACCCTACAGAGAATCCATGCTCACTACTAAAGAATTAGAAAATGCACCTTGGTAAGAAGCAGCAGTTCCTGTGTCCAGAGCAACACGCCCACAGCGATGGCTTCACACCTGCAGATCCACCGCCCAGTCTCCTCCTTTCTGCAGCTCCTGCCAGTCAGTGTGCGGAACTGGGGCCAGAGAGGGGG